GGTAACCTAAATTCTAATACAGGGGCTGCAAGAAATTACATCTAAAAAGTAGAAAAAAGGTCAAAAACATCAAGAGAGGCAAAACTTGAATCCTTAAAGTTCAAAACTGGTTGCCTTCTCTTTTTGGACCCATTACAGTAACAGCAGTTGCTGCAGACAAGACAGCGCAGCATGAATCAGCTGTAATAGGTGGCCGACAAAGCAAGCCTTTATTTCAGAGTGCCTGCCAAGCCTGCCATTTTGACGCAAATAAGGAAATTCAGAAGCAATGGGATGATTCCAGTACTGAGCCTATCAAAGTTACCTTGAGAAGAAAATAAATGAACAAGTACAAAGTGTTCTACCATCCAATAAGCGGATTTCAAACCTTCATTTACGCAGAAAACAGAAAACACTCAGCTATATTTACAAACACATGACAACATTAGTCAACATGTCAATGCAATGGGAATGTTCTGCTTTGGACTTGGAAGTAAAATTAGGATTCACTGTTCCTAGTTTCCAATCTGGACAAAATTGGTTTGCTTTTGGAGGCTTAAGATTTACCAGCCCAAATGTTAAGCAGACTGGTTCTGCAAGCACTTATGAAACCAAAATTAAGAAAACATGCTCAAGTCTTTGTCTTGTGGAACAACTGAAACCCCACAAAGGACTGTCAAACATATGACCTCAAACCAACTCAATTCATGACTAATGTTTTTAATTTTTCAGAACAATGCAACTCCTTTTGAAATCCAATTGGCCATCACTGCCTCCACCCTAAAACCACATTTAGTGGATGCTGTTCATTACACTCATTATATCTTTTGGCCATTAGCTATAGTTTACAAGCTTAGTCTTACATTATACATTTCAATTCTAGCAAAAATCCGTCAGGATGTTTTGATCAACATCAAATGAAAGACCCACTCAATGGGTAAACCAAAACAAACGAGTTACACTCCAGGATCAGGGTGACCTATGAACTGTGCTTGAGGGATTAAGGCAAAACTCCACTACAGACATTAAGAGAAAGGAACCCACAAGATACAAAAAGACTTAAGAAGGGTTTTCAAATGACAATCATCAAAAATGTAAGGCACTTCAAATATCTCGCTGGATCATGATCTGAACATGCATTTTGTCAGATGGCTTTAATGTTCTGCACAACTGCAAGGATTAATGGATGCTACAGACATCTGAAACTTCAATTAAGGAAAACTTCAGATGATAGACCACAAAAATTGGTCTAGATTATCCCAGTTTACTCTTAACACAACCTAGAGGAAAGGGAACAGAGCTCTTGAAAGATTCATTGTAAAGTTAAACTCAAGTTTCATCTTTCTAATCCTTAGAACCTCTTCAGCTTTCAAACCTCCTTGAGGGCTGCACTGGAATATTACAAGATTGCAATAAGTTAGTTTTCTAGCCTTCCAATTCCACCACCCCAACTCACATTTCACTTTACTTTAAAAATGATATTCGCAAACTCCTTAAGGTCAATAAAATGCTAAGCGTCTTAGAATGAAAACCCTTGCTCCCCCCACCACATTTCCAGTCCTTCATGGAACAGAAGAGTTTACCACTGAGGTTGTCACGCTTTGTCTTGGTGATGGGTGTAGTGCACACCCCAGTAAAATCCAGCGAGTTCCCCAGCATGGTGTTCATTTTACGAAAGATATCCGCATTACTGCATGTTGACAAGGCTGGAGCCTCAGAGTCCCAGTGATCATGAGCTCTGGTCAGATCTTCCTTCTGTGGAAACCACAAGAAAAATGACCACCATACAACACGCACTAAAAACAATTCAGTTTTACTTACAGATTAATAAATGCTATGTGGAATTGTGAATTAAGATATGCTCTTAAATTACTAACGGGACTAGCAGTTGCAATTGCAGTTCAATATTTGATAGCTTGCAAGTCCCTTTCAAAACGAATGAAAAAAAAAACTTTCCTTAGGATGGAATATTATTTTATATTCATCTACTACATAGAAAAAAGGAAAGCTTCAGTATAGTTTTTAGAAACGTTTTTGGGATCACTAAATCGTTTAGACCTTAAACACTTTAATTGGTTTAAAAAAAAAAAGCTTCGTATGCAGAGCAAAATTCATAGCCTACCATCACCTGCAATGGAAAAACGCTTTGGGCATGCGTACCGTGTAAAGAAATTTGGGAACTTGTGGAAAATCTAGAGATAGGCACGGAAAAGGAATGTTATTGCGACTTCGTTGAAGTCAACGGTTATTCCTTAGTTGACCGCTCAAGACAGCCATAAACCACTTAATCCTGTATGTCAAAAACATTCACTCTTCCATTATTCAAGTGACATAGGCCCTTGCATCAAGCGATATACACAAAGAGCAAACTACACCATTCCGCTAATACAATACTACTTCGTTACAGAACTGCGAAATAACTGCTGACGGAGGTCAACGTAATGCTTAAAGTTAAACGCTGTTTGAAGCGTTACATTACGTGCTACTTCGGCGGTAACAACTAATGATGGCGGTATTGCTGGTTTATTACAGTTACCGACTTATGAGCGCATTCTGCGGCGACTTCAAACACGTACAGACCAACATCAGCAACACGTCTCAACTCGCATCAAGCAGGCCGAGAAAACACTCGCCGGAGTTTCTCACACCACGAGTTACGTCGTCTGTCGCTAGGCGTGTCGGAAAAAAGCGCACCGTTTGCGTTTGCGCACATTTCGTAAATTGTTACTTTAATAAGCGACGTGCACACTACTTTTGTTGGGTGGCTGGTTTGAGTTTCAGAA